GTGGGGTAGGGGGAGGGAGGATGTGTTTCTGTTTAAAGGCACCTTATCCTATATAATAAAAGGCTAATATGCAAATAGACTGAACGGCGGAACAACTGAACAACCGGTCACTATGACGTGCTCTGACCACCAGGGGGCATGTGGGCATGGTGGGCATTGGCCACGGTGGGATGGTGGAGCAGGTGAGTGAGGGCGCCAGACCAAGATGGGGCGCCAGTCGCTGTCATCTGGGCGAGCCTCTGGTGGTTATTGAAAATTCTTTGTTCCCGCATGCTGCAGTCCCGCTCGGCATTTGCACCTGCTTCCGGTGCCGGCCCCACTCTCACCCACTGCCAGCACCGGAGCTGTCACTTGCACCTGCTGCTGGTGCCCAGCGCCAGTCTTGACCACTCAGCACCATCAATGGGTGGGAGCAGTGGCTGCCAGCCCTGATTGCCCCTGAGGGTTTCTCCACCTCTCCCTACTCCTGAGGGGCGATCAGGGCAGCAGCCATTCGCATCCACTGACGGAGCTGGCCCCAATAGCTCTGTGCCTTCAGCATGTGAGCGGGGCTGCTGGCAGACAGGGGACAAGGATGGGGTGGGGGGACTGTGGCGGGAGGGGCTGGACAGGGGCATGGAGGATGGACCAAGACCCGCCCCTGACCTACCAGCATGTCTCACAGCCCACAGTTCCTTTCAAGGTGCACCAATTCATGCACTGGCCCCTAGTTTAATATATTGTTGATTCATTAACATTACACTCATGGACAACACTGTACCACAGGCCTGAATGAAGCTTAGCTAACATGCGTTTTCTCCTTAAAGCACGCCGTAGCCTCCTGTGCTTAGGAACATTAGACAGCGCTTCAGCACTAAGCTTGGGGCCATTTTAAACTGCAAAACTATCAACAAAAAAGACAAAAACGCAGAAAACGTGGCATTAAATAGACTGCAAAAAGGACACTTGTTTGTAGTACAAGAGCAGAAATAAGAAGACAGAGCATCACCTTTTCCCACTTCAGCTGGGAGCACGCATGTTAGGCCGCCCGATTTTCTTCAGTCTGCACATGAGGACTGACTTGGAATTAAAAATAAATTGCAGGCAGTAGGCCAATTTGCAAACACGGAATCCACACATACGGGGATTGACTGTGTATTTTCTGTGCCAGACTGGCACTGGGATATATTGGTCCGAGAGATAGATCTGGACTGTCCCTGGAGGGATACACAGTGAGGCTCTGTGGCTCAATCGTTATGAGCACAGCCTTTGGGATCAGCTCATGTGGGTTCATATCTTGACTTGGTCATCTAATGGCTAAACTACCTTCTGCTTGATTTCTCTGTGCTCCAAGGTACTCTTTTGTAGAGTGGGAATAACAATACCTTGTGGAGGACAACTGGCTGTCATTTGGAGCCCCAAGAACAGAGCTTTAATTATTTATTTATTTGTTGTTGTTAATCCTCACCTGAGGATATTTTTTCATTGATTTTTAGGGAGAGTGGAAGAGAGAGGAAAAGACAGAGAGAAACATCAATATGAGAGAATCATCAATTGGTTGCCACCTACACGCGCCCCGACCATGGCCCGGGCTGGGGAGGAGCCTGTAACCAAGGTACATGCCCTTGACCGGAATCAAACCTGGGACCCTTTGGTCTGCAGGCCGATGTTCTATCCACTGAGCCAAACTGGCTAGGGCCAGAGCTTTATATTCCAGATGAGCAAGGTGACACGTAAATAGATGAGTCCACAAATAACTATCATTCTGATGTAGGTTGTTAAGGCAAAGTACGTGGAGCTGAAAGAAAGTATTAAAGAGGGGCCTAGCCTGGTCTGCAGGTGATAGCAAGGCTCGCTTGAGGAGGGGGCATTTAGACTGTCTTGAATTGAATGGGGTGTCTCCAGTGGAAAGGTGGGTGGCATATCCAGCCTCAACCCAAGCATCCTCTCCCTCCATCCACTTCCATCTACTTCAGTGTTCATTCAGGTGTCGGGTGCTGTGCTGGGTGCTGCAGGCTCCATGGCCATGAAGGATACCTTCGCCCTGCCGCCGGAAGGTTGCGGTCCGGCAGAAGAGCAGGTCTATCTCAAACATCTAAGAGAAAGATTTGGGGAGTATCCTCACGGCATGGCACCTAGTTTCCGCTGACCAAGTGATCCAAGAGACCAAGGTGGAAGCTGCAATGCCTTTTATGACCAAACCTTAGAAGTTGCACTCGGTCTACCATAGGCTATCGGTCAGGGCCGCTACAGAGGTCTGCACAGGTTTAAGGGGAAGGAACACACCCCACCCCTTATGAAAATGGGTCAATGCCACATTGTAAGAAGGACATGTGCGATGAGATCTAGTGTATTGAGATGTCCATCCTATCAAATACAATCTGCCACACTTGAGAACCACTGAAGTAATGTCATCAAGTATTCCCTGCCCCAGGGTACCCGCCATGGGGCTCTTGGCTCTGTTTTATTAGGTACCTAGTGTACAGTAAGTGCTCAGTAATTCTTGGCTGGATAATTTAATAAAACTTCCTATGAACCAAGCACTTATAAAACTAAACATTTAATAAATATTAGCTCATTTAATCTTCATAAACGTGTTCCAACTTCACAGATGGGGAAACTGAGTCGCACAGCCTGTAAGTGATGGAGCTGGGAATCTGGCTTCTGAGTCTGTGCTTGTTTGGGACCTCTAGGCTATGTTGCCATGACCTTTGACCCCACAAGAGTAAAAAACCCAGAAGTCCCAGACTCTAAAAACACAACATGGGCTTGGTCCATGCACATCAGAGCAATGGCTTATCTGGCCAATGTTTGGAGAGAGCTGGCCAAAACGTTTGGCTTTCTAAAGACTCTCGAACCTTCATATAACTTTTCGGTTAGGGGAGTGGCAGATTGTTTTTTCCAAAGATGGTTGCAGTGATATCTCTGCTCCCATTGTTTCTCCTTCTGCTGAATCTGGGAGGAACTGTGGCGAAAACAGAATGGCACTTTGTGACTCCCAAGGATAAGTCATAAAAGTTGATATAGCTTCTGTCTGGCTCCTTGAGTTACTTGATCTTGGAACCCAGTGCCATGCCATGAAAAAAGCCAAATGGCCCATGGAGAAGCCCACATGGAGAGGGACCGAGACCTCCAACCCACAGACCACTGAACTCCCAGCAGCAGCTGGCACCAACTGGGCAGCCAGAGAAGTGAGCCATCTTGCAAGCAAATTCTCCAGCCCCCAGTCACGCTGCCCCACCTGACACCAAATGAAGCAGACACAAGCTGTCCCTGCTGAGCTTTGTCCAAACGGCAGGTTCATGAGAGAGAGAATGGTTGTTGTTGTAGGCCTGTAAGTGCTGGGGTGGTTTGTTACACAGCAGTAACCAACTGACACATGGAGGGAGCCCTAATAATAACTGGGATGGAATTTTCTGACAAGTCCAGTGGAATCAGAACTCAAAGTTAAATGTAATTTGATTTAAGTGGTAAATGTGACATCTTTCGCATCCAAGTTTAGGTTGTTGATTCATACACGCTGAACTTTGTAACATGAAATTCTGGTGTCTGCATAAATCTTTAGGACCCCTCTTCAATAATAACATTCACCTCTTCTTTCCAACATTTAAACTCAAAGGTGGAGGCTGGCTAAGGCTGTCCCAGGTAATGTGAAAGCCACTCTGCCCTCAACCATGATAATAAGAATAGTAAGATGAATAGCTAACATATATAATAGCTAACTTATTGTGAGTCTGACATTATCCTCTGATGTGGGTCCCTTTATCTAAGGAGCATCTCAGGAGGAAAAGAATGGGGCCTCTGAACTCTTGCCTTTTGAGGTTCACTGTTACTGGAAGTTTTTTGATAAAACGAAGTGGTCTTGATGGAGGTCTGCAGCTGTTACCACCCAAGTTTACACTCTGGCTTCTCCTTTGAAATCCAAACAATATTGTCAACCATCTACCTGAAATCTCTGTTTGCTGGTCTTCTGGACAAATCCAACCCAACATGCCGAACTCTTGATCTCCTCCCTGCCCCACCTCCAAGTCTCTCACTCTCCCCATTTTGATGGCTGGCACCCCATCTGTACTGAGGATCAGGCTCAAACCAAAGACTCTTTTTTGATTCCCTTTTGCTCTCACATCCCGTATCCAATACATCGTCAAGTTGACATGGCACCGCCTCCAAAACTTGCCCTGAATCCGTCCCACATCTCTGTTTCTGCTGCTACCTTAGGCCAACCTATTGAATCTCTCTTGTCTAGACTGTGAAAGCCTTCTAACTGGTCTCTACTTGTGAGGAATGGGCTGGTGCTAGTCTCAATACCTAGGCCTGAGATTTTTGGAAAAGGCTAGTTCTGGTTTGGCCTTGACTGGAAGCCCTAGCCTGGCATCATGATTTGGGGATAATGACTGAACACGTGAATAGGAACTTACACAGCTGACACATGTGTCCCAAGCTTGGTAGCTCCTACAGCCACCCTTGTGGTGGGTGAGCAAGAACTGTGCAGGACCCCTGTTCAGCAGTGCCCCGAGTGGCAAAAGCTGGAACAATAATGCCAGGGGACTTCCCCACTCGCTTGCCAATTCTCACAATTCTCACATTAAGACTGAAGCCTTCCCACCAAGTTCTTGGGCAGGAACAGACCTCTCAAGTCCCAGAGCTTTGATCTTAGGTGACCTTTGTTTAGTCTGAAAACACAGGCAGGAACCCCACTTACCTTGTACATAGGATTGGCTAATCTAATAATAGCAGCAGAGCTGGCAGGACCATTGGAAGCCCAGGTCTCCATTTTACTGACAGAAACCGAGACCCAGAGTTGGGAAGAAAGGGACTTCTTGTCCAAGGGCACATTGAAGCTGAAGTCTCCGAAGACAAGCCATGATCTATGTTGGGACAGGCCAGACCAGGATGCAATTTCTTTTTTTTTTAGGGGATGAATCAGGAGCAGGGGGTGAGGTTATTAAGTTGTAATTATCTCAGCCCTGGCATGCCCCAGAGGGCTTACAGGTGTGTGTGGGGGGGCTGGAGGGGGCAGAGATTAGGAGGTGAGGAGGGTTCATGTCCTGAGAATTCTGCCTTGGCTTCCCTTCTCCCTGTCACAGCCCAAACCGGCCCCCACCACCCTCTGGGCATCTGAAACCTCATCACAGGGGGGTAAGATGGGTGGGATGAATCAGAACTACCATTATCATCATCATCCCTGAATCTCAAAGACCATCTCCCTTGCAACTTCCTGCCCCGGGTCAAGTTCTCAGTGGATACTTGATCAGGGTTCCAGCTTGCACACCTCCGAGAGGCAGCTGACCCACTACCCAGATATTAAAAAGTCCTTCTTTCTGCTAGACCAAGGTCTTTTTTTCTTGCTCTATTTGTCCCCATATGTCCCCACTCTGCCCTTCTGTTACTGCCACAGGAGAAACACACCTGTCCTTTTTGTTCCTTGATGATTTTGCCGAGCAATTACCAAGAAACCCCAACCTGCCGCCCCCACCCCCACCAACTCTACACCTGTGGTCCCCGTGTGACCTGTCTCAGAGCTGCTCCTTTGGTGATCTAAGTCCTCTGTGCTCATCAGCATCACACCCCCATGACCTGGCATTTGTGTGCTGATATTCAGGCCAGGATTCTGCAGGGGGAAAGCAACTGTTCTGGTGAATACAACCAATTCTGCCCTGGTCAGCGTCCTCCCCAGCCCTCATGGGGACTGATGGGTACCGGAGAGGGGAGTTCAAGACCAGGGTCCAGACCCCTTACCAAAATAAACCCAACATCACCTCCTCCATGTGCTCAGCTCAAGTTCTGCTCTCTGAGACTCCGATCGCCCCCACTCAATCATCAAGGAAGCCAGGTTACAGTTCGTTGCTGATATGTCCCTCTCCTCCACTGGACTGTAAGCCTCCTGAAGCGAGGCCTGGGTCTCATTCTCTCCGGGTTGTTAGAGTCTGTCTCAGGTGGCTCGGGACCCAGGGCATAGTAGATGCTCAGTGAACATTTATTGGATGAATGAATGAACGCCCTTCCCTGTCCCTTGGCTGGGATGAGGGTGTGAAAAGGGGAGCTGATGCTTACCAGGTTCCAGGCATGCCCTCAAGGATCAGTGCTCACACCGCAGCCACCTCACCCACCCCACCCACCCATAATCCCTCTCCCTCTCAAACTGTCACATTCCGAAACCTGCCCTTCCTTCCTGACTTCCTGCCTCCCACAGTCATGGGTGGGTCCAGGAGTGGCAGAGTGTGTGGCCTTGGGTCCAGGCAGACCAACCTGCTGCTGGCTCCCTGTGGGGCTCAGGCTAAGTGGCTTCTCTCTAAACCTCAGTTTTCTTATCTATGAAATGACCCAGGATTCTTAGGGTTTGGATAGTCTGTGGTTTGCTGAATCAAGTGCCTCTGATTCTCCCAGGACTCCTCTCAGCCTCTCCCCACAACACCTGCCTCCCCTCCAGACTCTGCTGACTCTTTCACTCAGCACCTTGGTGGGCGCCAGGGAAGGGCTGGAGGAGACAATGTCTGGGCCCCTCTGGTTGACAGCTCACCTGAGGCCCTGAGGACAGAATAGATGACATGTTGTTTCTCCTTGGGCTCCCACCTTGGGATATGCGGGGTGAACTCCCAGCCCTGCGCTCAAGGACCCCAGGCCTGAGGCTGTGCCCACCTGACATGGGGAGAGAGGGATGCCGTGAAAGCATTCTCTCCACCTACCTTGTCACCCCAAAGCCTCTCGGCCCCCCTAGCTTTGCTGCCCTCTGTCCTGTCTCTCTCCCACCTTCCTCGCTTGGCCTTCCTTTCCACTCTGCATAGCAAGCAGGAGCCCGAATTCAGAGGCACACATTTGCAGACTTTGCTGCTTGTTGGCTGTGTGACCTGAGGCAGGTGACTAAACCTCTCTGAATCTTAGTCTCCTGGTGAAAATGGGGGTGATGAGAGTAGCTGCCTCCTTGAGTTGTGAGGATTAAACGAAATAATTTATATAGAGTACTCAGAACGGTAGGGTGCCTATTATGTACTCAGAAAATGCACGTTTATTAATCATATTATCATCATCACTATTTGCCCAAGAACTCCTGGCTGCCATTCCAGTGTTCTGCCAATCACTGCTATCCCGAACCTT